TTTTTTTTTGAATGTAAGGGAGTTTTTGAAGGTTACTGTAAGGGAACTTTTTGCAAAAAAATGTGACCTTTATTCCAAAGTTGTCGAGAACAGCAGGCTATGCGTATGGAAGGGTGTGGTCGAATGTTGATAATAACGTATTCATTGGAAAAAAAGGCATCATAAATTTTAGATTACGACAGGATGAACTCGTCAACATTGCCGTTTTGTGGGAGATGGGTAGACGAGTAACACATTTTCGATCAAATGGAATTCACTAGTATTCTCCGATTTCAATTCCTTACGATGACAACACGGGAAAATCGCCTACTCCTAAAGATTTCGCCCATTATAGCCAAATACATGACAACGTACGAGATCTTCCGTATTTCCGCGGAGTTGCCCCAAAAACTCGACCGAAACACAGAAGCGTAGCGTACTCGACTACTCAGGTGCTAGGGTGATGGGTAGATCGACATGCCAGCGAAAGCCATACAATATTCAACCCATATTCTAAAAATCTTTAAGAAATCCGGTATCCATTCAACCCGTTTTGAAGAAATCATCACTTAGGAATCATGCACGTGCACGTACAATGTTGCACGAAAGCTAGTCTGTTGTGCACGGTCGATGATTTTGCACTTCCTTCAGCATAGCGCCAAGTATAAACTGCCCGCTCGAGTGTAACAGTGCACAATTATTCGTGCAACATAGCACGTGCAAGGTCAGACCAAATGACACACTCTAAATTTGGTCTGATCTTGCACTTACAATGCTGCACGAAATATAGAACCTCTCGAATACACACTAAGGACCATGGCCAAAAACTATCGTGTGCTGAAAGCGTACCGATAAAATTTCCCGAAACGATTCCGGCAAACACTACCGTAGAGAGTAATTCTTTTTGAGACCCACAACAGAGAATATCTCTTCATTCAGCTCTCTCTCGTTATATACAATAGCAACATACACGCATTTCGATAACAACAATTGTGATAGGAAACGTCAAGTATGTGCTGACACTGGGAAGGAGAACGATTATGACCGTAGAGGATGAGGACGACGTCTGGTCGGAATGCTCATCTCCTGATTCCGCTATTTCTAGTGGTTAAAATTAAATTAATCACGAGAACAATCACAACGAAACCTGCTGCTGCGGCTGCAATACTATGTTAGTAGTACTAGTAAAAAAAGGAAGAAAAAGAATAAAGCGCATATTAAATAACGTCACAAACCGGTTTCGAACATATTAGCTGATACCGAGTGATATTCTGAAGTATCACTCGTTACCGCTGTTTGGAAAGAGCTCTAAAAAAATCTGTCGTCATGAAAATTCTGCTCTAGATTGCGATCACACTAAACGACCTAGTCATGAAAAAGTACTCCTAGGAGTAAGCTGGAAATAAAAAGCCTCTCCCTTCTTTCGTTGTCTGCTGTCTCCTCTGCATAAGCACTATCTCACAACGTCGCGATCGCTATTCGCCAAGTATGATCGCACTATAGAGCCCGTCGAGTAGGAAAGAAGAAACCGCAGAATGATTGAGCGAATAGAACTGAGAACTCTAATAGACGTAACACATATACCACTAAGTATTATACACATATATAGAAATATTTGGCCTTCACAGCCATTGAATCTTTGATCTTCAACGCCAACAGACCGCAAGAATGGTAAACGATAAGGGGAAAAACAATGAAAACTTTCAGCACTTCGAAAAATTCGATAGGTTAACTGTTGGCAACTTATAAAAAGGGGCTGCGATCCAAATATGGTGCAGACTAAAAGTGCGGCTATAGGTTTTCGTAGGCTGTACGTCACGTGTACGCCGTATGTCGGACGGAACCATTGGACGATGATGACGAGACAACATTGAAGTCGTCAACGAGGTTCGTGGCGGAATTCGAGGAGAGATCAAGGCTGGCCAAGGAGGCTGACGGTCGATGAAGCAGCACACGTACTTGACGTAGGCTGATGTTAACATCGCGAAACAGCTGCATCTGTAAAACACGTGGAATTGCTTGTGAGCAAGAACGGTAGCAAGTTAATTTAATTTTTTATAGCAATTCTTACAAAAGAACATAACGACTACATAATTTCTCTCAGAAAGAAGTTTATTATTCAAAAAAGTGTAAGGTAAGCAAACAGCTCACCTGGAATATACCAATGATTGTCGTTAAGAAACCGATAACGTTTCCTAGTATATCTGAGGCACCCAGGCAAGACCACTCCTAAAATTATACGTTTTCATAGAAACTCTTCGACTTTTTGTAATATATGATCCAGTATTTTGGATTCATTTTGCCCCGTGACCACCCTTCCAGGTGTTCCTCTTCTTCAACAGAGCAAAAAGCCGAAAATAAGCCGGTTGCTAAAGCATACCCACAGAATGGATGCACAAAGTGGTTTCACTATAAAGAGGACGCAGGTCTACCGTGGCTGTTTATAATCAGATCCACAAGATTGCAGTAGATTACGCCCTACAGTTGATTTTAGTCGTAAAACCCAAAATTCCACATTCTGCTGACAATCATCTTTCCTATGTTCTGAACTGGGTTTGAATGCTTAATTTCCAAAATTTTTCTCGAAAATCTCAAACAAAACAAAGGCGGTTATCAAGCAAATATCGAGCTATCAACATATGCCGTAGAATCAGCGATATTTGGGGCGTAATCTACTGCAGTCTAGCTATTTAGCTCTGAAAGGCAACGGGAAGTCAGGGGCTTTTCAAAGAGAAGCCACATTCTTCTACAATCCCTTCGCACCGTAGTGTTGAATAATCTCAATTTAGCCACGAACATGGGGATCATTGATTGATTTTTATCAAAAATATCGAATAAATTACATGTAAGACCCACCTTATACAATATAGAAGATGCTAAGATCACAAATGTGGTAAAAAACACGTAATAGATTGGCGTCACCATCGATGTGTTGAACATATCGAGCGCCTTATTAAGGTAAACCTGGAACAGTCTCTGTTGAAAACCTATTATCAAAATGACACATCAACCTAATGAACACGGGAGAGAATTACGAAAATCATTCCAATAAAAGTAAATAGGCATAAATTAGTAAGCTTTTTGAGGAAATAATAGATGAATCCACGTACCAATTGCACAGAAACACAGGCAGCCACGGACCCCAACCAGAAATAAGTGAGTACGTTTGTAAGTTGTTGATTGCCAGATATCGTCTCCTTTATAGCCAAGCCAAGACCCTAAATTTGAATTTTTATTTATTAAACAGGAAAATATGAAGGGAAAAAAGCATATCTTGTAACATCTATCCCATGCCTTTTGCAGCTTTCTCGGATTTTTCACTTCAAATATTTAATGTAAGATTACTCGGACGAACGCAGATCGTTGAAGTTCAACGAGGATCAAACACTTTCTCAAATTCAGGTCATAGGCGCTAGGAAGGCGAAGGGAGATCCAAAGACTTGGTTAATAACAGTGGCTGGTTCCCAAAAGCGAGTCCAAGAGGACACCTGCACAAATCAGGGCGGAAATTAAGCGCATGGCGTATACAGAAGAGACGCAACATCGCATGAGATATTATCGCCCTAACACAAATCCTAGACAAAAAAAAACAATAAATAATCTGGAATCTGTTGCAATATACGTCGTAACTTCGTGCAACACGAAAGTCCGCATCGGAAATCGCAACTCTGTATTCCGTCCTAACAATTTTACCGAATTGATAATCCTCATAGATAATTTTCTTGCAATTATATCAGAAAGAATAAGCAACTAAGCTTTTCAGAATTTTCATCGAAGTCAAATATTACTTACCTTAACAGAAAGTACCGATAGCGATCCAATTAATGAACAGACGCTTATATAGACAATAATATTCGATCTACCATAACGAGGAGCAACGTATACGACAATGAACAAAGTTACCACTATGACAGCAACAACGTATAATATGAACACTGAAAACACATCTATTACATATCTATTAAAAGTATAATACTGATTCAAGCCATTCCTAAAAAAGCCGGGATGGAGCAGAGGCTCTCTGCTTAGCATTAGACTTGTACAGTTCCTAGAATCAGACTACGGCACTGTCTTCAATACGGTCCTTCCCCTCAGAGTTAGGAGATAAGCAGCTTGTTACAGAGGCCAAAAATACTGATCGAAAAGCCTGACGGGTCAATATAGAGGAAGGATGAATGAAAAACCAATTCAAACACTGATCGGTCACCAATGGAAAGCTCAGTGCATGGCGCATTTGGGATGAACAGGTCATTGACCTGCATTTTAGCTGGTCCAGAAGACCAAATTTCCGCTTGGACTTGCCCTAGAGTTTCACTCTGTTAAAACTAGTGCCCGATTTGTTTGGGTAGACAAAACCCTTCGTTCAAACATTGGCTGGTCCCGGCGATTATTGCAAAAACCGAAAGCACTTGTAATATTTCAACTAATCTAAGCGGAAGTGAAGTGAGTGGATTATACCAGGAAGTAAAATTCATTTACTTTCCATTCTGTAATGTACCAGAGAGAACTGACGGCGGAACTGACACTTCTAGCTTACTGACATATAAGGCAATGCACTATGCGAGAGGAGATTTCAAGATGTCATAGCCTCGTGAATACGGCTACCCTGCCCCCCCCCCTCCTTGATTTTGATTTCTTAAAACTCAATATCCAGTACCACTCAACCATCACCTTCACAAAACCCCCTGCTCGCTAGCCAATTAAACAAATACAACCCTCTCCACGGCAAATTTCGCGATACAAATCTGCTCCTGCTCTAAGATTGTGGCAATATTTAACGGCCCCACAATGAACATGTTTACCTCACCTGCATCTTTCATTTTCAGTGCAAGATCTGCCATAGATGCTACTTCTTCCTCTTTTGGTGAGTGAATTACAATTACTGTTGAACCGAGTAAGCATACAGCGCAACCGATTTTTCCTAGTAAATTCAGCCTCTCCTTTAGAAGTCGTGATGACAACACGGCACTGAATAATAGTTAATAGTAACGGCAGAATTTCAGTGAAAACATAAAAAGCGGTAGATAATGAGAGTTTGAACAGGAAAAAAATCACAAATATCTTAAAAATAGATTAAGACTTACGTGACTAGAACGGAGAGTGCACCTAACGGAGTAACCAAGCTGGCTGGCGCAAATGCGTACGCCGCAAAATTGCATGCCTCACCAACACCCACTGAAATTCATGTTTCATTAATTGATAGACGGACAAAATTTAGTAAATTTCGAAAACTATGGTACACAAAATTGGTATCAATTATCACAAACTCATAAACCTTATATCTTATATAAACAATCTTTTATACAACAGAACTCCTTCCAGATCCCTCAAAAATAACAATCTCATGACGATGGTGATGGTGAACGTGATGGTCTCTCTAATTGTCACCAATTGGATACATTTAAAGATCACACTGGCGAAAAAATGAGTGACCAATGAATTTGTGGAAACTAGACTGAACTCTTATATAAGATTGAAGATGTTTATGAAATTTATATCGATAATCAAACATATTGAATTATTTCATAAGATTGGCGGGTTATGGACAAAAATTCGGCCTCGCCCGAGCTCGAACCGCACATGTGCTATTTGGAGACAAAGGCAAAATAACATCTCCCTTATTTTTAAGGAAGTAAATTGGTTTGTCGGTTTGGGTGTTTGTGTATACGTCGGTATGTCGGTTTGTCAGTCTGTCTGTCCGCAAAACTTCATGATTACGATACAGGTAGGGATATGGAAAGTCCACCTCTATGCTACATTTCCTTCTTATACTAGGTTGTAACATCAGTTCGTAGAGTTTTTCACAAAGATTTCTCTGAACAAAAAGCAATAATTGTTACAAAAATTATTAAATAAGTTATTATAATAATCAGCCAATGCACGAATTGTTTGGCGACCATCCTCCTTCAATAGTGCCTTCAGATGCTCTTGGACGAATTCTGCAGGTCGTCCGCTTCGAGGCGTGTCTTCAAGGTCAAAGTCGCCATTTTCAAGCTTTGCGAACCATTTTTGTGCAGTAGACACACCTATGTAAGACACCTTCCCCGTATACACTGCATATGTCCCGAGGTGTTTCGGCAAGAAAAGCAGATGTCAAAAATGCTGATTTTTTCCTCTTACTGGTTAGATATTCCATTTCCGAGCCAGAAAAAAGACGAACATTCAAATCCCCCAAAAAANAAAAAACAGATAAGACAGTTTTGTAGAGGAGAAAGAGCTCTTTCTAAAGAATGTATACACTTTACTGAAAAAGAAAACAAGTCGTTGTAAAACAACTCTAACGCAAAACTCTACGAACTTATGTTACAACCCAATAAATGAAGCAGTCAGTTGGGAGGTAAGTTGATGGAGTTGAGTACAACAGAGTTAAGTAAATAATGTGCATCGAAATGGGTACTTAAAACTGTGATTTCGATCTGTACTGGCATCGTGCTGTGTATGCCTATACAAAAATCGGAGGTAATAATGTAGTTGAAAAACGCCCGCTTTTTTTTCAACATTGAGTGCTAGAGACAGGTACATAAGAAGGTTAGCCCATAATTGTGCTGAGGAACGCTTCTTGCTGAGGAACGCTTCTTAGCCGAGAACATACAGTTCTTGTCCTGTGCTTTAATAGGGAAGAAGCACCGGGGTTTGTGACTCAATTTTATCTTCAGAAGCGGAGCCCCCATCCCTCCGTACGTCATCATCTAGCTACTCTCTAAAGGAAGGTATGAGGCCCGACGTAGGCCGAGCAGCCACCCTGCATGTAAAAACATCAAGTCACACCAAATTTGCTATTTTGTGACCTGGGCCAACAGCAGTCAAGGAGTGAATTCTTCGCTGTTTATCCTTCTCACAAGGACTGAGAATGAGTTCACAATAGTAGTTCAGACGTAGTTTCAGTTGCGTAATATTTGTATATTACTTTACAAAGTTAAAGTTTCATGTGCAATCATAGATGGACAACTTACTTGTAATCACGCCCATCCACCACATCCACTCCCGTAGATACCCGTAACCGCCCTCACTTGCTCGCTGTGATACATCACCGCTCGCCAACTGAAATAATTCTCATTCACATGGTTGAAAAGGTTTACTTTTTCGAAATTCTCTATTGATCATTACTATTCTCGATTCATTTTGTTGAGCACGTATTCAGAAATAGTTACTACAACGATTTCAGCTCAGACATTGCTGAGAAGTGCAGAATTACATATCCCGCTACTTGCACTGTATACATACGGACTAGGTTGAGAAATGGAGCAGAGCATCCTACAAGTGCAGTACTGCTAAGTAAATCGATGTTACTTGGACTAACTCTCCTCTTTCCATAACTCCGCCATTTCCCAACTGCAATATCTTCTTAACTGTTTATTACCAAGTCTCTTTTATAAACCAGTTGTCTAGGTATGTAAAAGCAGATAAGCTACGATAAATATACCACCGAACCTGTATGCCTTTGGTACTACAGTGAAGAGCACACTGTCCCATAAGCGTGAGTACAAATCTACTTGGGCGCTCAGTTGTATTCAATGGGTATAACTCTTGAAAAAAGGGAAGAAATCTTCGCCTGGGATCACTACAAATCCCAGATTTCTATAGAGAAGTAATTCTCTCGAATATGGAAAGGTCTACTGAATTGGAGCGGTCTTGTGGGTAGCTCCATCCAGATTCGCTTCGATTAAAAAATACCAAAGTTCCGGAATTTTAATTTCGATTTTCATACTTACGCAGAATGCTCGCAGAGCAGTACCCTTATCCCTAGCTCTCTTGCCTGGTTTCTTCTTGTGAAGTAAATGAACAGGGAAACAATTTGACTTTTCCAAATGTGAATCTTTTTACCATTTCAACTTCTTTTGAAAAAAAANAAAAAAAACCATTTCCAAGCAATACCGATTCAGTTTGTCAAAAGCTGGTTTTTGTCTAGACACCTAGTGACAGGGACGTAAACCTGCTTTCGCACTTTACTTTCAGAAAAGAGGGCATAACCATTATACTTAGCCGCCACTTCACCAGACTTTCACCTCTGGTGAAATAGGCTTTTGTGAAATGTCTGCTACCGCAAAAACTCACGACGGTTTCGACATGAAAACCTATGAACCTACAAAAAAACTCAGCATCTGAAATCTACTCCCACTCCGAACAATCTTCAGCATTGAGCACAAGCCTTGGTCGTAGTAAAGACACAGCATTAGGAATGCGCCATGCATTCGGCTTTCAAATTGATGTCATTTTGTTTGATTAATACGCTTAAATCGATACGCTTCTAAGATTAACTTGAATAAAAACCGTGATTTCACCAAGGAAGGCGAGCAGTCGTTTCACGTCCAAAAGATGGAGGAATCGGCTGTTCCGGTTTGGATCCCAGGGGGAAAAACAGCTCCTCTATCTTTTGCCATCTATGAGGATCGGTGGTAGTTGAAGACACGTGGCGAGGTTAAACAACAAGGTGAATTATCCACCCTTATGAGCCATTTTTATTCAGGGCCACACGGATTTCGAGAAGAACTCGATGGATAGGGACCGTCATTAAGTAAATGGAGAAAGGGAGAAGTGTAGATTCAGCTGTGCTAAGCAAGCACTTATCACGATGAACAAAACACAGGAAAACGATTTTTGACGGATGTCGCGAAATATGAGGTAATGTTGAAGAAACAATGAAAAAGAGGGCCATATGGAGACCAACAGAGGTAGAGGCGGAGTGTGAGGAAGTGGAGGAAAGGGCTCAACCACCTAGTTTCGGATGGAGGGTATTATGCTGATAAGCACGACCCATAAGAACATTGCGTACTGTTTTCATGAAGAATTATTCCATTTCGAAGCATTATTCATTCAGATGCTGTTCTTCAAGTGCAGCCCTTCGATAGAAATCCGACAAACATGCAGACAAATAGAAATCACATATTTGGGGCGATAACAGTGCATGCTGACATTGAAATGATTGCCGTTCACCATACACGGCAACAGCCCCCATTCGTGGACAAATATTAAATTCCACTCCTGTAGTCCAAAAGAAGCAGCGTAATCTCGCGGAGGTAGCGTAACTGAAGCGGTTAGTGGCTTCCACTGAATAGCAATTGGGCCATCGAAATCCATTTCAGCACAGCAAGCCAACTATTTTTATGAAGACAGGAATTCAATAAAAAGGTGGCTTTTAAAGTTCAGGGGCTGTTGAATTGAACATTGGTTACCCTGCTCAAAATTCTACAGAAGACCGAAGGTTTTTCCCCTTCCTTGTTTTTTGCCCCCCGGCAAGATGGATTACAAACATCTTGAGGACCGATTGCCACGCGGCTCCCATAAAGACAGGGATTCAGACTAAAACAAGAAGTCATTACTTTCTATTTCAGTTCATGGACCTTATCATGTCACTGAAAAATGGCGTGAATAGAATATGGCACTGGGACCTTGAGACAGGACCAACAATCGTAAAGGACCTTCAGATTATGGCGGCCTCTTGAATGGTCCTTTTATACAATTCTAGTAGGTCGTAAACTACCGAAGCAAGCCAAACCACCAAGTGTAAAATGAAGAAAAATATGTATCAAAACAGTAGAAAAAATCGTAATCATTAATCAAAGGAAGTTGTTCACCTTGATGAGGGCTTTCTTCTTGATGATAAATGAACTGCCAATGAACAACGACGAGGATACGG